GGGTGTTGAGGCACTGGAACAGGTTGCCCGAGTTAGCTGTGGCTGCCCCATCCCTGGAGGTGTTCAAGGCCAGGCTGGATGAGGCTTTGAGCAACCTGGTCTAGTGGAGGGTGTCCCTGCCCATGGCAGGGGGGCTGGAACTTGATGATCTTTAAGGTCCTTTCCAACCCTAACCATTTTATGATTCTATGATGAGCCAAACGTGATAAAATGCTGCTGGCGTTTATGAGACTGGTCTAAGTACTGTTGAGCATTGTAGTGATAGTTGTTTATACACTTGGGACTCTGTTCCCGGTGTAGCTGGTGGTGAAATATTATCTAATTCTAGGTTTCTTTGTTTAATCTTTGGCGTGTATAACTTGCCAAACACAAATCAATCCCCACCCCCTGGGCTGTATTGTATATAAATGATGAGTAATAATGAGCAAGCTAGCTTGATTTTAGTGAAGAATTTTGAAATTTTGCATTATCAGAAGCACCAGTTCACTGTAGCATGTTGTTTCTAACCATGTAATTACTTGTTCATGTAGTGGTGGCTTCACCCAGTAAAATAACAAGCAATTAGTAATGGCTGACAATGTTACTGGTTTCAGTGGGTTTGAAGCAGGTTCATATAGAGCTAGAATTGTTAAACTTGTTGCAGTAGGGGGATTAAGAGTCACAAGTGAATTTTCCATTTTCAAATTTCCTTTCTGTATCAGGGAGAGCTGCATAAGCATTGTGCTGCTTCACATGAAGTTGAACTCAACTCCTACAAAGAACATGCTGCCCAAATTCAGCCTGTCAAAAAGCCATCTAATGTATCTCAGTGTGGTTGGGAGCCATTTGGTAAGGATTGATTTTTTGTTTTTTGTTTTTTTTTTTCTTTCATAATAATGAGCTGCTATTTATAATTAGTTTGCCGCTATTTCTTCTGCATTTTGTGGAGGGATTCAGGAGATATGTATAGGAGGGGTGTTCTGTTTTCCATGTTCTCACTGATTTTTCCAAAGAAAGATAAGTTGTGACTTCCCTTATGCCTTTCCTACTTAGTCATTTAAACAACTGACATTATTTTTTACCTGTTATAGCTATGAGATGGTTTCAGTAGATCAGTTTTCAGTCAGAAAATGGGATTTGTCTTTAGAATGTCTGTTAAGGAAAAAAAAGGGTGAAGAATAAAATAAATAGTTATCATTTTCTGCTGTTTTAATTCAAGGTCCAGCCATCATTTAAATGAAATTACTTGGTGTTTATCTAAATTGGAACTTTTCAGAGTCCTTATCTTCCAGAAAGAATATTTTTCTCCCCATTTTAATGGAGAAAAATGGGAGACTTTATTGCAGAATAGAGTTGACAACTTGCTCAATAGCTTATGAACCTGGCCTTTCACTTAAATAGAAAAAATATTTGCCTAGTTACAATTAAATTTGAATTTAATTCCATTTGAATGTAATAGATATTTTGAATCATTCTTTGACACTTTTACCACTACCAAGAACATCAGTGAAGTAGAATAGCCCGTTCTGCCAATGTGCCAGTCCACTCTAGTCTATCTAGCCATCCATTCTAATTATTCTTTAATTAACAACTAAAAAAAAAAAGTCCTACTCTATTCAAAGATAATTAAAGGTCTGAGCTCTGGGTTTTCTGTGGACAAAATCATGTGTATTAACTGCTTGCTGCGACATAATCAGTCTACTGAAATTATTTAGTCCCACAGGTTTCCAAATGTATTGGGATGCAGTTAAACTTAGTTGCTCTTTCTTCTCCCTGGACCAAGGGGAGGCTGTGTTTGTTTGTCTAAAATGCTAGTTAGCTTTCTTAATGGGGACTTCTGAGCTCCAGTGTCCTCCTTTTTCCATGAACACGCAAGTTATTGCAAAGCTACCCCTTCAGGATGGCACTCCGGACTTGTTCTTTCAGCTCTGTTTTTCAGGCAACATAGCTGGCAAGCTGGGGGTAATGCTGAAAGAAGGAATGCTTTAATAGCTGTGACTTTATTCTCAATGTCAGTAGGAGTTGTGGCTCCTTGCAAATACACAAACTGTCTCTCTTGGTATGAGCTCAGGTCTCCTGAGACTAGACTTGGTGTTTCTATCTGGGTGGAGTCCCTCCTGCTTCTCTCATCCTGACTAATTTTGATTAGGGTCATTTGCTGTACTGAGCAGAACCCTGTTTTGTTTTTAAGCGAGACTTCTGTCTCTGTGCCTTATGAGTACCTGGAAAATGAAAGGCAAAACACTTTAACCGTTTAAAAATATGTATTAAGCTGATTCCTTAAAAGCCTGTATGATGATGGATTTTTTTAGCCATTTTGATTGTTAGGACCTCACACATTTGCAACACATCTTTCCATTGTTAATAAAATCTATTAAAGTTTGGGTTTTCTTTTGTCTAAGGACCAATAAGAAAAGGGCACCTTGTTAATAACTAATGTTTCTTGTCTTCCAGAAAGAGTAAGGTGGAATGAAGAATGAGCCTACTAATATTTTCCTAATATGTTAGAGGCAAAAGGGTCAGCTGTAGAGGGAGTTTTTTTGGTCAAATAAAATGTTTTGCAAAATGCATGCTGAAGTCCAAAAGTGCCACTAACTAAATGTCTGTGCATGTTCACTAACTTTTTTCTTGTAGTATATAAAAATGGTTAGGAAGTTATTGGAACCTTTAAATGGATAATTTGTTTTGAAAATTATTCTCAGATAAGAACAACTACAAACAGTTACTGGGAGCACTGGATTACTCGTTTCTGTGTGCGTATGCAATTGGAATGTATTTAAGGTAAACCTCGCTCTCTTGGAAACCTGCTTTATTACTTACTGTTAATTTATGAGGTTCTGCTACTACTGAGATATTGTCCTTTCCTACTGTAAAGTTTCTGGTGAAGAGAGTGAGAACTTGGGTGCTGAGGAAAAAAAGCACATCATCCTGAGTCCTCAGTGGTATCATACCTGCTGGTATATAGAAAGCTTTCTGCCTGCACCCATCCTGACTGCCTTGTGCAGAGCAATCTAGCCTGTCTTTCCTTCATATGGAATATGAAGGAATATATGCTGGGATATACATCCTCAAACTTCATCAGTCACCAACTTGCACATGTAGACTAAACTAACTGTCCTGGCTTTCTCGATAGTCAAAGGACAGGAGCAGACACCTCCTAACCCATTTTAAAATGTGTAATATCAGCTGCTGTTTGGAGATGCTTCTTTTTATTGACTAAAACCTTAACCTTTGTAACTAGAATCATTAGCAAGGGAGACAAGTCTCATTTTAAATGTCTAGAGACATGTCGCACCTTACAGGTCATTTGTAAAATGACTCTACGTAAATGACTTCCAGTGTGCTCTAGGTGAGTATCTCCCTGAAAGATGGTTGTGCAGATGTCAGCACTTGGCAATTAGTGACCATGAAATGTTTGTTGGTTTTTCCTGTCAAGTGCTAAAAAATGTTCATTTGCTGCTGTGAAGGAAAACAGCAGTTACCATAAAGTTTCTCTTCAACCAGAATTAAACAACACAAAATAGTCTTTATTTGTGAAGGCTTGGGATATGTTCTCATATTTATTTATTGCCTTTCTTTTTTTTTTTTTCCTTCCACACTGCAAGTGGAATAATAGGAGAACGACTACCTATCCGGTACTATCTGACAGTCGGAATGCTTGCTAGTGGACTCTTCACTGCAATGTTTGGATTGGGTTATTTCTATAATATACATAATCTGTGGTTTTACATAATGGCCCAGGTAGGCATGATGTTATTTAGATACTCCAAGTTTCCATGGTGATGTTTAGTGTTGTATTTGGTTTTTTCCAGTTGTAAGCAGTGAGTAGTGGTTGTATGGGAGGATCTAAATGCTGGCATACATTGTCGTTGATGACAGGCAGAAATGATAGAGTGGATAGCTCCAGGTTTTATTTTTGAAAAATGTTTTTTTAGTGGAACAAATCTTTGAAAACAAATAGAAGTGTTTCAGTCTGTGTCAAATCAGTGAGAAAATATTTGCAAGCTTAAATGTGGGCGAGTTTTAAATGTATTTACTTTTGTCAGTCTGCCAAGACCTTAGTGACACATCCTGGCTTCCTCTGCAGGAAAATTACATTATACTGCTAATGATGAACAGTCTTCCACATTGGTGTGGCTGAGAACAGGCAGGTTCTGTAACGAGATTCATTGTGTGGGATTTTTCGGAGCACTTGTAGATCTAACCAGGTGTCACAAGAATATTTAGCATTGACCTAAAATGGAATTTAGGTCAGGACCAGGGTATGGTTAGCACTTCTGAGTAATTTTGGACAGGTCTGCACCTTGCACTGCTGCTTTCTTTGTGTTATTACAGTAGCGCTTTCACTGCTGGCACCTGTGCATGGCATTGTGCGATATGGCATGCAGCAATACTAACTTGGGTACTGAAAGGTTCTGTGACCATTTCACCAAGTCATCCATCTAACCATGTCACTGCCTCAGAGCTCTTGGGTTCTGTGGCTTCCACGACAGAAGCTGGCTCCTTTATTGTTAAGCTAACCACCTCTGCCAGTGCTGCACCATGTGATGTGGTCAGTGAACCCTGTAATACCAGGGGTGGTCTTGTACAACCAGCCTGATTGTTTTTTGTTGGGTAGAGTGAGGTTGTTTCGTTGCATGTTCAAATGCTCATTGTACATGTGAATTATTGTATCGTGATCTTTGTGTTGAAAGGGAGCTTTTTAGGAGTTGAGATGAGTTAAAGTTATAATCTGTGTAACATGGAAGCTGAAATATTCTTCCTTCAGCCTGAATATAGTAAGTTAAATTTCTCCTCTCAGTTTATTTACAGGTGTCTGTTAAGCATCTTAAAGTTAATGTTCAAAGTTATCCAGTTCCCCCAAAAGTTTTCTTTTTTTTTTTTCCTCGCTTTGTTTGACTGCAAACATTCTCTGCCATATGTTCAAATTGAGATAAAGTATTATGTTGCTGTGTGAGCATAGGGAATTCGCTTCTCTGCTTAGCTCAGTGCAATGTGATTTTTGGTAAGCATGTGATTGAATTACAGTTTCTTGTGTTTAAAATCATAATTTGAGAGATGTAGGTAGAGGGAATAATCTCTGCAAAACATTGTAATTTGTTTGTTCTTGGAAAAGAGCGCCACTAAATTTCTAAATTAAAAGCATTTGTGTAGGCTTCATTTTCCCAATGCAGGAATTGTGTAGGAAGCTGACTTATTATAGGGTGTGTTTATTTATTATTACTTCTGTGTACTTTCAGATAGCTAATGGGTTGGTGCAAACTACTGGCTGGCCAAGTGTCGTTACATGTATTGGCAACTGGTTTGGAAAAGGAAGGTAAATAATACGTAATCCAAAGTTTTGGAAGTACAAATCAGTACATTCTGGGCTGCAATATGTCACAACAGTGTTCTGTGGTAGCTCTTTAGTGTGATGTTTAATTTTTCAGGTGAAATATTTCAGAATTGAGTTAAGAATTCTTGCAAATATTAACAGTCTAAACCCACTTTTAATAAAGGCTGTTATTATGCCATTTTAACGTGCAATTTCCCGTATTTTCATTTCTGTTTCAGTGCAGCTGTCAGGGTATAACTCTAAAAGTGTCTTTTTTGTCTAATGTCTTTTTATCTAACATACTTACAGAAATGTGAAAATTCAGTTAAAAAAAGAAGATACATGTGTCAACTGATTTAACCTTTCTTTTTGTCACTTTCTTTAAATCATCTTTTTTTTTTTTTCCCTTAATTCTGCATAGGGATCACTCATAATGTTTATTTTGTCATACCATACAGGAGTTTTCCATAAATTTTGCAAGAGCTCCATGCTAAATTCATTGGCTCTGATAGTGGTTGATGCATTCAGCATATAGTAATGCTACTGTAGTGCCATCCATTGTAGATACATACCGTTGGATGGACGTTATTGTCAATCAGTTCAAGAGAAGAACATGCAAAAATTATATGCTTTCCTTATAAAATCATGGGATGGTTAAGAAGACGTAGGCTCAAACTAGTTTTCCATAGTCCCTGCAGCCTTTTTGGTGAATGCTACAAAATGCAGAGAATGTTAACTGTCATACAGTACTGAACATATTTGGCGAGTCTGTGCAAAACAAATATGTCTATTCAGATTTTGTTCTGTGCTAGTGCAACAGCCTTTACTTCCAGGGCCACATAGTGGACTGGTGGATAGGGCTCTGGTTTGAATGTCGATGATCTGGTTCTTGTTTTCATTTTGCTACAAATTCCATGAAACTTGAGCAGGCGCCTTAGATCTTGTCTTCAGCCAAAGGAAAAGATTTAGTTTAGTTCAAATTAGGTTGCTCCGGGTAAAATCCTTTGGAGGGCAAAGCAGTTTTCCCATGACTTAGAAGGAAAAAAAAAATCCTGCTAACTGTCATGACTTCAGTATGATTTTTGTAGTTTATATTAACTCAGCTGCAGCTATTCTACAGCAGCTCTAATCTGGGATTTCCAGGCAGACAGCAGTTTCATGTGTCTGTTAGCCAGGCTTGAGCAGGTATTATCTTCTACTAGCGCCTAGCAAGTCCAGAATGTGATCAGAAAATACTGAATTTGCTCTACCTATCCTGTGCAGATTATTTTCTTCTGCGTGATAAGTCTAATATGTCCTGAAAGCATCAGATTATTGGTGCAATGTGTTTGCAGGAGGACTTCCATTCCCAGAAGCATCAGATTTAGCGTGCATAGCATATGTTGCATAGCATCATACAGATGATGCTAAGCAACATCTGTATACTTGTTTTCACCAAAGAAACTCTATCCAGAAATATGCAAGCCCTAGTGGTACCTTTAAATGCAGGATGAGTTCTGTCACACACAGAGAAATATTTACAACACTTCTGTTAATATTTAATTTAATTTAAGTTGCCAGATGAAATATGGTAGCATAAAGAGGCAGTCAGTTAAAGATTGCAAATATTTCACTAACACTACAGATGAACGGATTTTTTTATACACTTTTCTCAAGATAGTACTGCTTATTGTTGGAATAATAAGAAATGTTTGTGTATTTTTTTTACATGCAGGAGAGGTTTGATCATGGGAATCTGGAATTCACACACTTCAGTGGGAAATATCTTGGGATCCTTAATTGCTGCTTATTGGGTGTCTACCTGCTGGGGTCTCTCGTTTGTGATGCCTGGTGTTATCATTGCTGTGATGGGGATTGTTTGTTTCCTGTTTCTTATTGAACGTAAGTGCTTTGGTGGGATAGAACCATGGAGGGCTCATTATGGGTGAAGAACAACAGCTATTTAAGCTAAATGACCCAGTGCAAAGTATATTCTTTGGGCTATGCCAATACTTAAAGAACTTCTTCCTAGAACACGAGATGGAGAAGAACTTGTGTATGTCTAAAGAGTTTATACGTGGCATACCTGAGAGAGTAACACTTCAGAATTCAGTACAACTCTCTGTCATTACTTCTCTGTCTCTATAAATCGTTCAAGTGTATCTTAGCAGAATGTCCCACCTGGCTGCAGTGTATATTCTATGCTACCCTTCAACCCATACCTTCCATATGCTGTGCTATGGAATACAGACGTCAGCTGATAGAGCAAGTTTTGTCATTTTAAATTAGAAAGTAAAAAGGAATGCCCTGTCTTGTCCCTACATAGACTCGGAGATATTAGTATGAATGCTTACTTTACTGTAGCTGTGCTATCTCAGGAAGTAAAAAGTTCTGCAAGTATAACTAGAATGCTGTAATGAGCTGGACTGCCAGCATAGCAATTAATGTGGTCATAGGATGGGAAGGGTACCATGGAGAACCCTTTTCTTTTTCCCTAAAGCTAAAGTCACACATTTCTGCCAGAGCTACTTCTGTGATATCTGTACTGTTGGTTTATTGTTGGTAAATTACACTACTGGTAAGTGTTTAAGAGATATTCATTATGCTTTTTTCACTATTAACTATGTGTGGTATTATATTTCAGATCCTAAAGATATAAGTTGCTCCTGCACACCATCCAGTGTAAGTGAATGCTTTATCTGTTTTGGTTTTTGCCTCCTAATACACATGTTTATTATGATAGTTCTGGAAAACAGATAATATGTGTGGTGCTTTTGTGCCAGGCTGTTTTAACTGACCCTATACTTGAGGGGATGATTGGTCTTCTGTGCTTCACTGGTCAACCCGTAGTTTGTGTTCTATCAACACAGTATGAATCAAGAGGTGCAAGTTCATTTTAACTCAAGTTTTGGAATAGATGATCTTACTATAGTAAACCAAGTGAAAACTGTTCATCTTTCTTTTTTTTTTTTTTTTCCCCCCTTATGTTCCTTCAGTCTTTCTGGGCATCTTCAGAGCATTTTGACCAATCTCCTGTTCGTGTCTTCCTTGCTTAGGTGTGGCATAATGACATAGCTGCCAGCCAGATCCTGTGGAGGGTCTCACTGTTTGAGAACCCTGTATTGGACATGGCAGAAAGAGCAAACAGCCCTTTTGCTGACATAGCATCAATGAACTGTGCATCTGTGAGCTTGGGGATGGAAGGTGGGATTTTTCCTTGGACAGGGAAGGACAGTAGGAGCACATGGCTAGGGAAAAGAGGAAGCAAGGGATGGATACGAAGTGAAGAGATTGAAGCAAACAGTCTGTGACAATGAGTTTAATCATGATATAATATGGCCTTTATTTAACCAAAACAGACATTACTGAAGAGCTGTGAAAAGGAGAGAGAAATAATCTGTGCTTAGCAGTATGGGTCACATGACAAATCAATGCTTTTGTTTTTGTGGCATCACAGAATCATTTTGGTTGGAAGGGACGTGACTTCTGGATATTGTATGTTCCTACCCTTTCCTCGTAGTTGGACTAAATTTGACATAGGATCAAATTGCTTAGGGCTTGCCTGTCAGATTTTGAAATCCTCAAGTCATCTGTGCTGTTTATGCATAGATGACTTATTATACAGTGAGTTTTTAGAATGCATTGATCACATGTTTTACTGGCATCAAGGCAGTGGGTCTTGGTATTGTATGAGAGCTTATACTTCAAGGGCTTAAATTTTGGCAAGGTAGTGAGCTTCACTAAGCTGTAAATATACTGTCACACAAACTGTGGAACACATACTGACTGGATCACAAAGGAAAATGCGACTCGACACAAGAGTTTGAAAATTCAACACCAGAGATTGACCATTTAAAGCGTTGTTGAAGCAGGATTGAAATGTGTGTGTGTGTGTGTGCAGATGCCTGAGCTTTCTTAGGTTGCTGAACATTGCATGTATGCTTCCTAGTGCCATTGTAGCAGCAAAACTCGTAACTTTTAATTGTTTCTGAAACGAGTGGTTTATTTTTAAGTGTTAGTATAAGGTTATTCAAACACTATTTTAAAAGAAGGTTGGAAGTCGGTAAGCTCTGGTACAAAGATGTTTGCCCAATGCTTTTGAACAAAAGTTCACAAGACTTTTTATGTACTCCAAATTAAGAATGTAGGAAGCCATGTCAATGGTAAAAAGCTGTGCCTTAGAAAGCTTTAGCTACTCTGTGAGAAGACTATTCCTTTCTTGCCTCATGCAGCTGTGACCCAAGAGGAGGGAGGCATTCCAAATAAAATGATAGAAAAATAAGAAGCAAGGAAAGAGAGCAAAAAAGATAGCATTGGGAAGACGAGCTGTGTGTAACTTCATGTAACAGAATGTCATTTATAGCCCAGTTTTGTTTAGGAGTGTGTTTGCAGGTTCATCTGTTTCACCTTCCTCTGGTATGTGCTTGTCTCAGCTGTAAGGAAAATGTGGAGCAGCGTAGTGCTCCAGGCTCTTTCTACTTTGGCTCCCAGGGACCTGTGGGCAATCAGGTCTGCCATGTTTTCAACTAGCTCTTTAGAAGAATAGTAGAGGGGAGACTGGCAAAGAAGGTCTTAAGGTTTCCCATGTTTGAGGGCGAATCATGGCTGTTGGGGAAAACTCTGGGGGGAAGGTCTCAAGAGAATCCCACATATGTTTTCCTGTACTAGAGGATTAGAGATGGAGATTGTCTGCACATGTAGGTAGATGTGAACTATACCTTTTAGTTGCAAGTCTCACAGGTAGATTGTACAGGGATGATTGCTGTTTTTTTACCACCCCCCAATAGTTTCAGATGGATGGCTTTTTACATTTTAAATGATCTCTTCTTCTTGAATAGCAACTGAAGGAAACTTTTCCAGTCTGTGTTATCTCTTCTTTACCAGTTAATGGGTTTTTTGTCCTCGTATGAAGTACTCCTGATAAAGCTTCTCAATACTTTTAGTGGTCTTTGGAACTCCTATTGTCAGTTTGCTCCTGTGAGATAAGGTGTACTTACAATGCACTCTGTATTTTTCATTCCTTAAAAGTAACTTCTGTCAACTATGAAAATATTTTAAGTGACTCTTAGAGACTCCTAAGAGGAGGTGTTTTATTCTTAAGCTTTTATGCTTTTTTCCTTAGCTTTTTCTCGTGGACATTTCAGCTGCTGTTTATAATACCTAGAGCATAATGTTTACAGAATTTGTTGTTAACCTTTATGGCAGTAAATGTTTGTTCTTGTCGTGGCTTTAACCCAGCAGGCATCAAACACCCTGCAGCTGCTCCTTGCCCCGAACACCCATGGTGGGATGGGGGAGGGAATTGGAGGGGTAAAGGTAAGGACACTTGTGGGTTGAGATAAGAACAATTTAATAATTGAAATAAAATAAAAACCAACACAATATACAAATGAGTGGTGCATAGTGCAGTTGCTCACCGCCCACTGACCAATGCCCAGCCTGTCCCTGGCTAGCGATCCTAGAGGAGAGAAATCCTGAGAATGCAACGCCAGGAGAGAGAGAGAGAGAGCGCTTCCAGGCTAACCTGCATCTATATACTGAGCATAACTATTGCATGTTGTGGAATATCCTATTGGCCAGTTTGGATCCACTGCTCTGGCTACACTCCCATCTTCTTGTGCACCTGTACACTAGCAAAGCATGTGAAGTTGTAAAGTCCTTGATTTCTTAACAACTAAAAACATCAGTATATTATCAGCATTCTTCTCATATTAAACCCAAAACACAGCACTATTCTAGCTACTGAGAAGAAAATTAACTCTATCCCAGCCAAAACTAGGACAGGTTTTGTTTCAAATACGCCTTTACTGGCAAGCATAACTAAAGAGTTCTGCACGGTATGTCACTCATACGTTTTAAGGAACTGGTATAGAAAGATTTTTATATTAAGTATCTACTTGCTGTGATATTTTTGACAAAAATATAGTATTTTACGAGCTC